CGGGTGGCTGAACTGCAGGCTGTGGAAGGTCGGTAGTTCAGCAGTTCGAGACCCGGGTGCCGCACGACGGAGTGAGCTCCCGTCTCTGGTTCCAGCAACCTAGCAGTTCGAAAGCAAGAAATTGCAAGTAGATAAATAGGTACCACTTCGGTGGGAAGGTAACAGCGTTCCGTGCGCCTTGGTGTTTAGTCATGCCGGCCACATGACCACGGAAACGTCTTCGGACAGCGCTGGCTCTTCGGCTTTGAAACGGAGATGAGCACCGCAACCTAGAGTCGGATTCGACTGGCTTTCGAGCAAGGGAACCTTTACCTTTTTACCTGGCATTACATTTTATGACAAACAAGGCCCGTCCCAACAAGGTCACATTTACTTTTTTAAAAAATAATTTTTTATTGTTAAGAAGTTGAAACAGTGCATAGCAATCAACATTTTAACATTTTACATTTATGTTGCATACATTTAAGATTTTTGTTAATATATATATATTTGTATTCATAACTGCCCTTCAGTTCACTATTCTAGAGTTAACATATGCTGAGCATGTAATATAAATTACAGAACAGTACCGTGCAGTATATAAAGTATAGTACAGATAAAATTAAGTCTAAAACCATATAGCAATTCCAAAGTTGTCTAAGGTTAGGTTTGACTCTTTAGTTTCTAATTTTAATTTTATTAAATAGGCAGTCTTCAATACTGTTTTGGTGGATATGTTACCCATGTCAAAATGACAAATGTATTGTTCAGATTAGAATCAAAAGTAGATCAGCGATCTATAGAGAGGATTTTTTGGTATCACTTCAGCCTCTGCCATATAAGTAAGGTCTCATTTAGGTCAGATCCAGCCCTCAAAATGAGTTCGACACCCCTGCCCTATGGGGCCAGCATAAGTGGGCTGCAACTTGACTGCAAAAAAAGAGAGATAAAAACACCACGCAAATGGTGGAATCCATATTTTGCGGAGCTGCTCATAAAGGTGGCAGTGCATTAAAAAAATCAAACATGTATCACAATATCATCATAAACATTGCTCACTCCTGGGCAGTGTTTCCTCTAAACTGTGGAGAGTCCTGTGAGCAAAAATTCTACTTTGGGAGCTCCTGGCATTAAAGTTGTGAGCGAGCGGTTTGGCTGCTGCATAAATTAGTTTGCTCTGGAGCTGTCCTCCCTGAGTGGAGACAAAAATGCGTGAGCTAGATGCTAAAAAAAATGTGAGCTAGCTCACACTAACTGAGCTTAGAGGAAACACTGCTTCCAGGGCTGTATTACCCATAAGGTTGACTAGGCTGAAGCCTAGGAGCTCCGCAGGGAGTAGGGGCCCATCAGTTTTTATTTTTTGTTATTTTTTTCTTGAGGCACTGTTATTTTCTCTTCATAGGCAGCCTGTAAAGTCGCCAGAGGGCCCCCGAAATACCCGAAAGCCTAGGGGCCGGCCGTGGGTTCAAATGGCCCTGGCTCACTCCTTGGAAATGAACAAGTCTCGTGTAATTTTAAAGACTAACAAACTGCTCTGGTTAGAGCAAGATGGATTAGTGTTGCCAACCTCCAGGTGGCACCTGGTGACCTCCCACTATTACAGTTGACCTCCAGACAAACAAAATCGGTTCCCCTGGAGAAAATGGCTGCTTTGGAGGGTGGACTCCGTGACATACCCTGATGAGGTGCCCCCCCTTCCCAAATCTCCAGGTATTTCCCAAACCAGAT